TGGCGGTAGCACTAGTGAAGCTGCTGGATCCGAGGGAGGAAAGCAGCAGCAGGGGAAAACTAAGAAGCCGAAGGGTGTAGTTATGAAGGGATGGGAGACACCCGTCTCCAGGCCAGGACATACCCGTATGGCTACTAAGAAGCTGACTGCAGGAACTGATGCAGCAGAGCAGCAGCTAGGGACCGAGGAGGCATTGCTGATTCTACCGCATGGCTATGACCCGGATGAGGAGGATGAGCCTGCGTACTGTTTTCTTGCCCCTGCACCAGAGGAACCAGCTAGCATGGAGGAGGCATTAGCTGGACCAGATAGGGACAAGTGGCTGGCTTCTAGGGATGCTGAGTACCAGAGCCTGCTGGAGAATGGGACTTGGGAACTAGTGGTGCTGCCTGAGGGAAAGAAAGCGGTACAATGCAAGTGGGTGCTAAGGATCAAGACTGATGACAAGGGGCAGGTCACCATCTACAAGAGTAGGTTGGTGGCTAAAGGGTTTATGCAGAAGGAGAAGCAGGACTTCAACGAGATCTTTGCTCCCACTGCCAAACCCCCTACCCTTCGTGTCTTGTTGGCAGATGCAGCCGTTAGTGGGAAATTCATTATCCAGATGGATATATCAACGGCATTCCTCAACGGGATTTTAGAGGAGGATGTGTATATGACGCAGCCGCCTGGGTATGAGGATGGTACAGGCAGGGTGTGCAAGCTGAAAAAGTCAATCTACGGCTTGAAGCAGGCGCCACGCTGCTGGTACCAGAAGTTGGCAGCTGTTTTAGAGGAGATGGGATTCAGGACCAGCAGCTGTGATGAGAGCCTCTTTCTCAAGGGCGAGGGGGAGAAGCTGGTGCTGTTTCTGGTCTACGTGGACGACATTCTTCTCTTCAGCAGCAGCATGAAGGAGATCCAGAAAGTGCAGCAGCAACTGATGGAAAACTTCAAGTGCAAGAACCTTGGGGAGGTAAAGTACTACCTCGGGATGCACGTGGAGAGGGATCCTGATCACAGGTGGTTGAAGCTGCACCAGGAGAAGTTCATCAAGGAGCTGGGGGAGAAGTATGGGATTGAGAATGGGCGCAAGGTTGCAACTCCCCTGCCAGCAGAATTCAAGCTTGTGAAGGCTGCAGAGGATGAAGGGGTTGAAGCTGAGGAGCAGCAGCAATTCCAGTCCTTGGTGGGCAGCCTCTTGTATGCAGCAGTTCACACGAGGCCCGACATCTCTTTCTCAGTTGGGCAGCTGGCTAGGGTGAAGCAGAAAGGGGTTGAGGTGCTGAAAGAGAAGGGGGAGAGGCTTGGAGAAGGCAAGCTCTTTCTCACTTGCTTTACCGATGCTACATGGGCTTCTGAGAAGGAGGATTCCTCATCTGTGGGAGGATACATCTGCGTAGTTGGGGGAGGACCTGTTAGTTGGAGGTCCAAGAAGCAGACGGAGACGGCACTCTCCTCTGTTGAGTCAGAGTACATGGCAATGTTTCATGGGGTGAAGGAGGTGATTTGGCTGAGGAGGCTGTTAGAGGAGATTGGCCAGGAGCAGAAGGTTGCTACGCCGCTGTTTTGTGATAGCAAGGGGGCTCTTGGAATGGCCAGGAACGCTGTGCTTCATGGGCTGAATAAGCACATGCGTATCAAGTGGCACTGGCTGCGTAAGGAGGTGAAGAGGGGGACGGTGAATCCGATCTACATCAAGACTCACCAGCAGCCAGCAGATTTTCTCACCAAGAGGCTTGCGGATGAGCCTCATTGGCGTTGTGTGCGCATGAGTGGAATGAGCATGAACTAGCATGGAATGATGGGGATGCAGCCGGCAGGCTGAGGGGGAGTGTGTTGGGTGCAAATTTACATTGCACGACATCCTGCCGTCTGTTTGTACGAGTATGCGTGTGCGAATGCATTTGTGTGTGAATGGAATGTTCGTGTGTTTGTTTGTTTTCGCAATTTCCGCTTGATGCATTTGCAGGTACTCGCGTAATGTGCGCTTCGGCACAACATTGTACGCGCTATGAACAGTGCAAGCAGAAAGGACGAGCTCGCAAAGGAACCCAGGATGGAAGCTTTGCAGTTCGGTTGAGTTGATTGCGCAGATTCAGTTCTATCCAACTCGAAATTGTACTGCTTTGTTTGGTTAACTATAGTGTAGCAGGGAAGGCACTATAGGGTTACAATTTAGGTGAAGGTTGGATGTTGTTTGTCTGTATCTGCATGCTACAGGGCCAGGGGAAACCAGCGGAACCTGGTTGGGCAAAGACAAAACAGGTTCTGTTATTAGAACCTGAACCTGGTTGTTGTTTTCCCAGGTTGGAAAAACAGAACCAGAGGTTGTTTACCAACCTACCACCTGCTATTTTATCCAGCCAGGTTGGTTCTGTTGCTTGGAATTATTTGGGATCATCCCTGGTTGTTCCCAGGTTGATTCCCAAGGTCCTTGCTAGCTAGAACTATTTAATCCTTCTCTGTTTGTACCTGAATATAGTCAATTGATTCAAGCGAATTCCTTCCTCGCTGGAATTTCGTTTCTGCGCTATTCGACGGCGGAATGCTACCCGAGTCAACGCTAGTATGCTAGCACTCCAACGCTAGGCAAACGCTGTCCGAGCCATAACTTAGTAATGGCAGAACTTTTCGCGAGGCAACTTGGCTCATTTTAAAGCTTTTGGAGCGAGCTTCGATATAGCGAATTCTCAGCTTAATCCGATCGACGGTCTGCACGGCACGCTGCGCGACGTTTAAGGTACTCTTGCTGTTTTGACTAAGTCCTCCTTGATCCCTCTCTCTGCAAACTCGGACCCGAGGATAGGGGCTGGTCTTGTACCAGGCACCCAGGGACCCTTGGAGGTGACCCCGATGAGAGGTTTTAAGTTTGATCAAGTCCTAATAGCTTGAGTTTATTAGGCCCTTACACCAACACAGTCGATATCTCTGATCGGTACCACGACTCGGTGTGGATGGTGATTGTCGGGCGACAGGGTCTCATAAGTAGAGTGCCCATCTGCTGTTGACTAGCCCCACTCCTTCCATATGCGTATTGTGGCCGTCCCAAATATCGAAGCTGCTCGTTGCGTGACAGGTGTCGAAGTCCCGTCGTTCGCACGTGCTATTTCTGCCTAAGTCTCTTCGACTTGCAACGTTCGTCGCCACCACTCTAGCGCAGGTCCCTTTAACAGTGGTACTGCGAAATTAATGCGGGTGGCATCGTCGTTAACCATAGCAGCATTGAAAAACACCTCCACATCGAACAACCGTGCAGAAACAGTGACAAACTTGTCACTCGGGTTAAACGCGGGCGGGTTTGTCGGCTTAATCTTGACAGTTGTTGAACCTGCCATTGCCGTCGGGACTGTTGCCGCTGCTGATTTTATCGCCGGTGCTGTCGCTGCTGCACGTGTCGGAACTGCACGCGACTGTTGCGGTGACTGTTGCTGTTGTGCATGCCTCGCAACGTCCGCATCCATGGAGCCTTCAAGCTCGCTCCAGACCCGCTCATCTGGCGTGGAGCTGCTACTTGCGTCCTCAATGACAGGCGACTCCTGGCGCGCTTTACCTCGCACCTGGTGTAGTTCGGCGTTTTCCTTCCTCATGCGCTCCATTTCCACACTCATCACCTTTATGTTGGCCTGCATCGTTCGGAAGTCCTGCAGGAATGCGTCAAACTCGGCCTGCTCCATGTTTCTCAGGCTTCATCGGACGGGCAGAGGGTGGCTAGCGATTTTCTCACTTTGATGAATGCGCAAACGCTATCATAGTCGGAGTGAAATAATCGTATCTATTTCACAGGCCGACCGCTTTGCAGCCCACCAAGTCTCACTCCTCTTGTACAAACTACGACGGAAAACGCAAGGGTAACCTAGGAAAGTAGCTCGGATACCAAATGTTATGAGTTGGAAGAAGAAGATTGCGTAGAATGCAATATCGCGGAAGTGATACCAAGTGTGTCTGAGAAAATAATAGGGCCTAGCACAAATATAGCCAAGCTAGCTAGGCGACGGTCGGGGAGTTGCGAGATGGTTGGGTGCAGGTTTGGGGTTGGGAAACCCGAAGGCGACGCGATGGTGGTTCGGAGGGCAAGGTTGTCGGACCGAGCCTGTTCTCTGAAAACCGGAGTTGTATGCGTATAGTGTGATCCAGTAAGGAATTACGGAAAATTCCTTACAGATCCTGTAAGCCGTCATTTCAGATTGTAACAAAACCCACCCACCCGTTTTTTGAAAAGCATTATTATAAGACCCTAGAGTCTTTTATCAAGGGGATTATGGTTGTCACGCATGTGAAGTAACCAGCGGAATATATCCAGGGGACACTATAAGTGAATAACTGGCATCCTAGAAACCACCTTGGGACCAAGGGTGCTGCTGAGCTGAGCGGTTGTAGCCGCCCTCCTTTAGAAATTATAATTCTCTGAGAAGAAGATGGCTAGAGGTTGTGGTTGTGCTAGCTGTAGTACTCGGCCACCAGGCGGTAGATGTAGGAGGGGTTGTGGCCGCCCCTGCCACGCACCGCCGTATGGGACATGTGGGAGAAACGAGAGTTAGGAAGAAGGTAGGGAATACATACGTGAGGAGGAGGTACCATGCAGGGGAGTGAGTGAGAGGGCATGCAGGGGTGAGAGGGCATGCAGGGGAGTTAGAGGGCATGCAGGGGAGTCAGAGGGCATGCAAGAGAGTGAGAGGGCATGCAAGGGAGTGAGAGGGCATGCAGGGGAGTGAGAGGGCATGCAGGGGAGTGAGAGGGCATGCAGGGGAGTGAGAGGGCATGAAGAGAAGTGAGAGGGCATGCAGGGAAGTGAGAGAGCATGCAAGGGAGTGAGAAGGCATGCAGGGGAGTGAGAAGGCATGCAGGGGAGTGAGAAGGCATGCAGGGGAGTGATAGGGCATGCAGGGGAGTGAGAGGGCATACAAGGGAGTGAGAGGTTATGCAGGGGAGTGAGAGGGCATGCAGGGAAGTGAGAGGGCATGCAGGGGAGTGAGAGGGCATGCAGGGGAGTGAGAGGGCATGCAACGGAGTGAGAGGGCATGCAGGGGAGCAACTCACGTGTCGGTGACGAGCAGAGTGACGAGCTCGGGGGGGGGGGTGTAGTCAAACGCCGGGTTCACCACCTCCACCTCCACCTCCACCTCCACCCCCACCTCCGCCTCCCCCCACCGACCCTCTGCCTCCTCACCCCCATCTGCGCCCGCCTTGCCGCTCCCCGCCCCTGTGTGGTGAGCGTAGCCCCCAGGTGTGCCAGCCCCTCCCAGTGCGCCAGCCCCTCCCAGTGCGCCAGCCCCTCCCAGTGCGCGAGCTCCGCCAGCCCCACCACTCCTGCTGGCGAGTGCTGGTCGTTCAACCCCGCCAGCCCCGCCTGCTGTGGGTACAGCGGGCAGATCTGCGGGGGGAGAGAGGCAGGCAATGGCAGGACGGTGAGGATCAAGAGAAGGAGCGTTGGTGCAAGGTGCAGTACGGTAGAGCTGGCCTGTTGTGCACTATGGCGTGAGTCATAGGCGAAGACAGTGAGAGCAGGACAACAGGTGGGCAGGTGGAGGGGTGGTAAGGTGGAGTGAAGTGGAGGTGGAAGGGAGGGCAACACTGACATTGAAGATGCCGGCGAGCACCACGAAGGGCACAACATGGTGGCGCGCAGCCAGTGCCACCATGTCCAGGCCTGCAAGGGGGGGGAGATGAGAGTAGGGGGCAGCGGGGCAGGGAGGGGAGAGGTGAGAGAAGGGGGTTAGGGGCATGGGAGACGTGTTGAAGGGAGGAGAGGAGAACGCAGAGAGAGATGTGAGCTCTCATGCACACAGAACAGGCAGCGGACTTCCACACGGTGTTCAAGCTAGTCTTAGCAGCACCTCCCTCCTCTCCCTCTTGCTTCACACTTATCCCACATGGTCGCCTCTGCGCTCGCCTCGCTGACCAATGGGTGCGAGCACGCCCACATTGCCCATGACAGCATGGGCGGCGAGCAGCACGAGGTTGACGCGCGCCATGAGCGTGAATACCCCTGTTACCACCATCCCGCGCCCTGCCAGCGCAGCCGCCAGCTTGTGCCCGCCATAGCACGGCGCTCCCTCCGCCACCACCACCTGCCATGGGGGGAGGCGGGGCGGAGGCGATGGGGCCGCTGCAGCTGGCAGCAACAGCAGTGGGGTCGCTAAGGCAGCAGGGGGGTGGGTTGGGATTGAGGTGGGCTGAGAGGGCTGTCCAGCATGGAAGGCAGGCTGACATGGAAGGCATGCTCATATGGAAGGTAGGCTCACATGGAAGGCAAGCTGACATGGAAGGCAGGCTCACATGGAAGGCAGGCTCACATGGAAGGCAGGCTCACATGGAAGGCAGGCTCATATGAAAGGCAGGCTCACATGGAAGGCAGGATCACATGGAAGGTAGGCTCACATGGGAGGCAGGCTCACATGGAAGGCAAGCTCACATGGAAGGCAGGCTCACATGGAAGGCAGGCTCACATGGAAGGCAGGCTCACATGGAAGGCAGGCTCACATGGAAGGCAGGCTCACATGGAAGGAGCGTCACTTCCTGGCTTCGAGCAGGACGAGCAGCAGCGTGTCAAAGAAACACCTCGCTGGCCCCCATGGTGTGTGTTGGTGTAAGGGCCTAATAAACTCAAGCTATTAGGACTTAATCAAACTTAAAACCTCTCCTCGGGGTCACCTCCAAGGGTCCCTGGGTGCCTGGTACAAGACCAGCCCCTATCCTCGGGTCCGAGTTTGTAGAGAGAGGGATCAAGGACTTAGTCAAAACAGCAAGAGTACCTTGAACGTCGCGCAGCGTGCCGTGCAGACCGTCGATCGGATTAAGCTGAGAATTCGCTATATCGAAGCTTGCTCCAAGAGCTTTAAAATGAGCCAAGTTGCCTCGCGAAAAGTTCTGCCATTACTAAGTTCTGGCTCGGACAGTGTTTGCCTAGCGTTGGAGTGCTAGCATACTAGCGTTGACTCGGGTAGCATTCCGCCGTCAAATAGCGCAGAAATGAAACTCCAGCGAGGAAGGAATTCGCTTGAATCAATTTGACTATATCCAGGTACAAACAGAGAAGGACTAAATAGTTCTAGCTAGCAAGGACCTTGGGAATCAACCTGGGAACAACCAGGGATGATCCCAAATAATTCCAAGCAACAAAACCAACCTGGCTGGACAAAATAGCAGGTGGTAGGTTGGTAAACAACCTCTGGTTCTGTTTTTCGAACCTGGGAAAACAACAACCAGGTTCAGGTTCTAAAAACAGAACCTGTTTTTGTCTTTGCCCAACCAGCCAAATGCTGGTTCTGCTGGTTTCCCCTGGCCTTGTAGCATGCAGATACAGACAAACAACATCCAACCTTCACCTAAATTGTACCCCTATAGTGCCTTCCCTGCTACACTATAGTTAACCAAACAAAGCAGTACAATTTCGAGTTGGATAGAACTGAATCTGCGCAATCAACTCAACCGAACTGCAAAGCTTCCATCTTGGGTTCCTTTGCGAGCTCGTCCTTTCTGCTTGCACTGTTCATAGCGCGTACAATGTTGTGCCGAAGCGCACATTGCGCGAGTACCTGCAAATGCATCAAGCGAAAATTGCGAAAACAAACAAACACACGAACATTCCATTCACACCCAAATGCATTCGCACACGCATACTCGTACAAACAGACGGCAGGATGTCGTGCAATGTAAATTTGCACCCAACAATTTCAACGGCATTTCTGAATGGGATTTTAGAGGAGGATGTCTACATGACGCACTATTCAACGGCATTTCAACGGCATTTCCGCGCTATTCGACGGCGGAATGCTACCCGAGTCAACACTAGTATGCTAGCACTCCAACACTAGGCAAACGCTGTCCGAGCCAGAACTTCGTAATGGCAGAACTTTTCGCGAGGCAACTTGGCTTATTTTAAAGCTCTTGGAGCGAGCTTCGATATAGCAAATTCTCAGCTTAATCCGATTGACGGTCTGCACGGCACGCTGCGCGACGTTCAAGGTACTCTTGCTGTTTTGACTAAGTCCTTCTTGATCCCTCTTTCTACAAACTCGGACCCGAGGATAGGGGCTGGTCTTGTACCAGGCACCCAGGGACCCTTGGAGGTGACCCTGAGGAGAGGTTTTAAGTTTGATTAAGTCCTAATAGCTTGAGTTTATTAGGCCCTTACACCGACAAGCTGGTATCAGAGCTGCGTTATAGTGATCCTCGGTATAGGTAGCTATGGCGGGCAACACCTCGGCGGGAGCTGGTGAATCTTCAGCCCAAGATCGTAGCGGTAGCCAAGATTCTGGTGTTTCGGCGCCAAGGGGAGCGCGAACCAACCAGAGCTCGCTGATCAAGGAGGTGCTGAAGAATTTCACCGTCGAGAAGTTCAATGGTGAGGGCTATGATGACTGGGCCTGGAAAATGCAATTATATTTCCGTCAGATCGGTTTGCTGAAACTAATGATTGGGGAGGAGCCTAGACCGAGTGACCCCGCCCTTCAGGAAGATTGGGACGAGCGCTCCTCGGCTGGCTACTATCTGATGTCGCAGAGTTTGGAGCTGAACCAGCGTCACCACGTCATGCATCTGCTGCCGGAGGTTGAATGCGGTCCGAAGGCGTGGACCGTGTTGAAGGAGCTGCACGCCCCGACCTCCGTTGTCGCAACGTTGATGCTGGAGAGGGAGCTGTCCGCGTTGCGCCTAAGCGAGGGAGAGCCGGTGCAACCTGTCCTGGACAAGATGCGCGACCTCTACGCGAAGTTGGCGACCGCGGGAATCACCTACCCGGAGCAGACCAAGTGCTTGAAGATGCTCTCGCTGCTGCCTGAATCGTGGCTTCAATTCACGAGCGGATTGAGCCTGCCGCAGAACCAGAGCTCGTGGACACTCGAGTGGGTGCGGACAAAGATTCTGGAGGAGGACTTTCGTCGCCGCCAACTGAGGGGTGGAGACGACGGCAGCAGCGGCTATGGGATGCAAGGGAGCCGACGTGGCAGAGGACGTGGCTTCGGTGGTGCTGGACGCGGTGCAAAGAAAGACGACGACTCCAACGACCAACAAGGAGGTACCGGTTGGGGTCGCGGTGCGAAATCTGGACGTGGGGGCAAGTCGGGTGCTGGTGGCAAAATGAAAGGGAGTTGCTGGTATTGTAAGAAGGAAGGGCACCCCTGGTTTTTGTGCTATAAGAAACCCGATGGATGGACCCCCCAGAATCGTCAACAGGATGGCGGCGCGCGAAGGAACCAGAAAAACGGCGCGAACATGGTCGCTGATTCGTCCGACAACAACCCGAAGAGCAACGCTGGTGCGGAGAAGAAGAAGGAGCGCACCGCGGGCCAGTTCTTCCATGTGGGAGACAAGGGGGAGCAAGGAGACGCATCTGCCAAGGTTGGAGCAGAGCTGCACCCCCTGGACTATTGGGTGTTGGACACGGGCGCTGCATGGACGATGACGCCGCGCAAGGACCTGCTGGACGACGTGCGCACTGCACCGATCAATGAGGTGTGCTCCGCCTCTGGACACGCGCTGAAGGTGGCTGGTGCGGGACGAGCTGCGTTCAAGGGAGCGGATGGCAAGCCGGTGGTGCTGCACGACGTTCTTCTCGTTCCTGAACTCAAGGCCAACCTCATCTCCCTCCGTAAGCTTGCCAAGGCTGGGGTGAGCACTAGCACGGATGGGGCACGCACGTACAAGGGGCAGCTAGGAAACCGGGTGCTTTGGGATCTGCACGAGAGCAAAGACGTGTACAGATCTATGTGGCAGCTGCCGGCGTTGGCGTGGCACGGCGGGAGGCAGGCTGGAGAGGGGTCTGCATCCCAGGGGGAGTGCAACGCCGTTGGAGGGGTTGGTGTGAAAGTGTCGGCCAGATCTGGGGAGACAGATTGGGCAACGGCACATCGACGCTTGGGGCATGTGGCAATGCCCTTGCTGAAGCAGCTGGAGAAGGATGGAGCCGTTAAGGGTCTGAAGCTGAACGGACAGCCACCCGATGATAACTGTGAAATCTGTTTGCTCTCAAAGTTTACCCGTTTTCCCTTCCATAGTGTGGCTGGCAGGAGCAAGAAGCCTTTGGAGCTGGTCCACATGGACTTGGTGGGGCCGCTGCCGGTTCAGGGGCACAAGGGGGAGCGGTACTTTCTGACCATAGTGGATGATTGGAGCAGACTCATGTGGGCGTATCCGCTGAAGCAGAAAGATCACGCCGCCTCCACGATTCGGGACGATTGGCTGCCGTTCGTGGAGAAGCAAGCGGAATGTGTGGTGAAGCGGATTAGGACAGACCGGGGTGGTGAGTTCCTTGGAGCTGAGATGACGGCCTGGCTCAAGAAGCAGGGCATCCAGAGAGAGCTGACCACGGCTTATACCCCACAGTCGAACGGCGTAGCAGAACGGGCAAACCGGACAATTCTGGAGACAGCTAGGGCGCTGCTCATAGAATCTGGGCTGAGCAATTCTATGTGGCCTCATGCTGTCCGGCACGCCACCGTCGCTAGGAACAGGGTGCTCACTAAGGTTGGGGATGACTCGTGGGTGGCTTGGGAGGAAGCCGCCGGTGGACATGCTGAGGGTGTTCGGTTGCATGGCAGTCGCCCACGTCCCCAAGACCTACCGCAGTAAGTTGGGGGCAAGTGCAATCTGGTGTGTGCATTTGGGGCTGGCTGCTGAGAGCAAGGGATGGCTGCTGTGGGAACCATCCAAGGGTGTGAAATTCACACCCTTGGAGGAGGGATGTGAAATTCATTGAGGCCATGATGTATGGGAGCTGGGAGAAACAGCCGGAGGCCCGGGTGTCCCAGCAGATGGAGCAGATCACCATGCAGCTGGACCTGACTCCTAATGTGTGGGAGGAGGGAGAGGAGGCAGCTGCGGGGAATGGTGATGGAGAGAAGGTACAGGAGGCACCTGCTGGTGGAGAAAATGGTGTGGAAACTGGCGGCAGCACTAGTGAAGCTGCTGGATCCAAGGGAGGAGAGCAGCAGCAGGGGAAAACTAAGAAGCCGAAGGGTGTCGTTATGAAGGGATGGGAGACACCCGTCTCCAGGCCAGGACGCACCCGTATGGCTACTAAGAAGCTGACTGCAGGATCAGGTGTAGCAGAGCAGCAGCTTGGGACCGAGGAGGCAATGCTGATTCTACCTCATGGCTATGACCCGGATGAGGAGGACGAGCCTGCGTACTGTTTTCTTGCCCCTGCACCAGAGGAACCAGCTAGCATGGAGGAGGCATTAGCTGGACCAGATAGGGACAAGTGGCTGGCTTCTAGGGATGCTGAGTACCAGAGCCTGCTGGAGAATGGGACATGGGATCTGGTGGTGCTGCCTGATGGGAAGAAAGCGATACAATGCAAGTGGGTGCTGAGGATCAAGACCGACGACAAGG